CTCTGGGTGCAGGCAGGGGTGGGTGTGGGGTGCCAGTCTAGCTTGGACACCCACCCTGTCCTCACACAGTGACCTCACTCAGCTGGGCTGACCGGCCTGCTTCAGACTCCAGTGTCCTGGCCTCCTGAGGTCCCTCAGGCCTCCCCTCCCCCTGGGTGTTTCTCTGTAGGAGACACCAGCATCTGACCCTCCCCCAGGGGGGGGAGGGAAGTGACATCTCCAAAGATAGGCGGGTGAGGAGGGGGGCCGGGGGTGCTTGGGGTGTCATTTCCACAGCCCCATTCCAATTCCCAGCTCAGCACTCGGTGGTTTGAGAAGGCGGGGCGGCCGGGAAGCTAAGGAGGGGCTGCCTTCTGGGAACAGCAGTGGGGCCAGGAGCTTGGTCAGGACTGGTCAGTAGCACCCCACTCACTCCAGGGGCCAGGGTGATGCGGACCCCACCAAGGGACTGGTGCCCTGCTGAGCTGACGAGACACTGAGGGAGGGGGCAGCTGTCAGCCCAGCAGCTGCTCCCCCCACCCCCCCACCACCACCCTCACCACCCCCCATCCCCCGCCTTCCCTTGAGGCTGCTGTGCTGGCCCTCTTGCTGCGGGGGAGGAAGCAGGCCCGGCCGTCCAGCCCGTTGTAGTCACCCAAAGGCGAAAACAGCTGGGCCCCAGCCCAGTTCTGTCTGCTCGCTCCAGCCCTGCACAGGGGCATGGTCTCCAGAGCCTGGGGTGGGCAGTGGGGTTCAAGGCCTGGCAGATGACATCTGGGTGGACCTGTAGCACCCCAAACAGACACACAGCAAGATCTCAATAGGTGTGTGAGGAAGGACACCACCACCCCCATCTCTCTATGAGTGCCTACCACCAACTGCGCTTCAGGGCCCCTCAGGGGCACTGGTTTGAGAGGTTGCCCCAACCTAACTGATGTGGGAGGACCCAGCAGGGCCATTTCTGAGTGGGCTAATGGGGAAGGCAGGGGTGCAGGGGGACCTGCTACCACAGTCTTCCTCAGTCCGCAGGTCTAGGATCCTCCCCGCCTCCCTCCCACCCCACCCCCACTCACAGCGCCTTCCCAGGGACCCAGCAGATAAAGAAAGGGCAGAGGGAGGGGCAGGTTGGGTGGTAGAGAAAAAACCGAAACTGGGCCTGGGCTAGGGGTTGAGAGGCACAGGGTTCCCCCCAGCCCCACCTGGTACCCCCCAAACCCAGGCGGCCGGCAGTGAGGTGGTGTCTGAGGACCCAGCCTTGGTGCGGGTCGCTGTGGCAGGGGCAGGGATGGCCGAGGGCGAGCGCTCTGGACCCGGCCCTCCGTCCAAGCCGCCGGGGCCGCTGGCCTCCAGGAGGGGCCTGAAGTTGGAAAGCCCAGAGCGAGGCCGCGGGCCTGGGAAGAGTCTTTCGGTCCGCCAGAGGCAGGGGCAGGGGCGCTGGGCGCCCAGCAAGAAGACCGGCCCGCCGGCCGGCTGGCAGCCGCGGCCCGCAGGGCAGCAGAAACGCCGGCTTCCCACGGCCTGGCTCGGGGCCAGCAGGTGTCCCTTCCGGGAGACCAGCAGGGCCGGGGTCCGAAG